TCTTTATGATGAACTCTTTCTTCCAGAAGCGGCCCCACAGGAAGTGGACCTGGTCGAGCCCCGACGGTTCGACAAAAAATGAGATTGACTTCATTATGACGACCAGACGACAACTGTTCAGTGATGTCTCCGTGATCGCGAGGGTGAAAACTGGTAGCGATCACCGAATGGTTAGAGGCACACTGAACCTAAACGTTAAGTTGGAGAGGTCTCGTCTAATGAAGTCAACGCTCCGTCCCCCTCGTGCTCTGTTCCAAAGTACCGAAACCTTTCAGCTCGAGTTACAAAACCGTTTTCAGTGCCTAGAAGACTGCAATGAAGTGGACGATATGAATGACAAGCTCGTGGAAACTGTCCATGCGGTCGGAGCTAAGTTCTGCAAGACCCGCCGCAGAAGAACACAAAAACTCTCCGATCACTTTCTTAATCTCATGGCTGTTAGACGGGAGATGAAGCTACATTCTTCAACAGACTTGACAGCATATAGGCATCTGCAGGGCTATTCACAATCGTCTCGGAAAGCGAATTCGACTCGGATTCGATAACTTCTCGCACAGAAACCAATAAACGCTATTCACATTTAACGTTCGGATAAAGGTCACTTAGATACATCCCATAACTATTGTATCGTCATTTAGTTACATGCATTTACGAATTTTGTAGATAAATAGGCTTTTGTATTTTTTTAGAGTAACGCCTGAACAAAATCATAATGCAATATTTTGGAGTTCTCGTTCTCGAGTGGCAGCCTCGTACCGGTAGGCGAAGTGTAGGGCGTCCCCCCACGAGATGGAGTGACGACCTGCAGGGCTATTCACAATCGTCTCGGAAAGCGAAATCGACTCGGATTCGATAACTTCTCGCACCGAAACCAATAAACGCTATTAACATTTAACGTTCGGATAAAGGTCACTTAGATACATCCTATAACTATTGTATCGTCATTTAGTTACATGCATTTACGAATTTTGTAAATAAATAGGCTTTTGTATTTTTTTAAAGTAACGCCTGAACAAAAACATAATGCAATATTTTGGAGTTAGCCATTGATATCGAATATAAAAAATATATAATTTAACTATATAATAAATAACAAAAAAACTGAGATATGTCTCGTTTCTGTCGGGTCTGGGTTTTTTTCTATGGGGCGTGACCGTACTTCTTTGACGTTTGTTTTCGATAATTGTGACAGTTTGCATCGGAAACTTTACGAGAGCTCTGAGGCTGGCGAAAACTTTTCGAATATTGATGATTAGAATAGATAAATAAACCCTTTTCATTATAAGGTAGGTAACAAAAATTAATTACAATTATCTATAAGACGTATTTTCATATAATTACTTCAATATTTGCACTTAATCGTAAAGCTGAATTTTTGTGAAAGGTGTGTTTTTATAAGTTTTCTATCACAAAGCAGCATATATATATGCTGCTTTGTGAAACGATATATATCTCAGTTTTTTGTTATTTATTATATAGTTAAATTATATATTTTTTATATTCGATATCAATGGCTAACACCAAAATATTGCATTATGTTTTTGTTTAGGCGTTACTCTAAAAAAATACAAAAGCCTATTTATCTACAAAATTCGTAAATGCATGTAACTAAATGACGATACAATAGTTATGGGATGTATCTAAGTGACCTTTATCCGAACGTTAAATGTGAATAGCGTTTATTGGTTTCGGTGCGAGAAGTATCGAATCCGAGTTGAATTCGCTTTCCGAGACGATTGTGAATAGCCCGGCTGGTAAGACATGCAGGAAGTCGATGGATGCAGGTGGCTCAGGATCGTGCTTTGTGGCATTCTTTGGGGGAGGCCTATGTTCAGCAGTGGACTTGTGAAGGGCTGTAATGATGATGAATGATGATGAAAAAGAGCATATTCTATTCTTTACTTTAGTCATACATACTTTGCGGTAAAGTTGGAAATTTATAATAAACCTAAACTTTGAGCAAAATAAAATTGATTAATGATAAAAAAATGTATATATTTTGTGGTATATATTGCGCGAAAACTATAAAGGATATCGCTTTCGTATGTATAAAAGGTTAATAGAAAATTTGTCAAGTATCGTTTCGTACCTCCACACTTTTCATGTACCGTCTACAGTTCTTTTTAAAAGTGCGAAAAACCGCGTTTTGGGGTATTTTCTGGGACGCTGGGGAAGAAGAAGAGTGCATAAAATTTAACTTTTCTGTGTAACGTACATACGCCGATAGATAAAAGTACTCCATTAATTTTGATTTTTTTTTTAGCTAAAATGATTGAACTAAATAAGCGAGGTGTCCTGTCATGACGCGCGGCGCAGACGCGTGATATACGCGGTTGAAACCGCGGGGCACAGCTATTAATGCATATTTATTTGACTTCGACTACATTGATGATGTTCTCATTTTATTTATATTGAAGTCGGTTATACAAAATTTATAATTTTATCACTCGTTATGAGTCACAGGACTACGTGGGTTGATCGGATTTCTTTCTTAGTATTTAGGCGATTTTTTATTCTTTTTCATAATGAATTCAATATCATACAGGATTGTATTAACTATATTTTGCGTCTCGATCTATGATGTATGTACAATATTTGTTATGTTTTAATGACGTAGTATATTTGATAAAATTACAGATATAGTGTACACCCAACGCAGTCTTAAAGCCGTTTGAAAAATCCTCAATGATAAAATTATCTTTTTTTTATTAAGAATAATTTAGTGTTGTTTAATATTCAAACATTACGAATTTATATATCATTGAGGTTTTTGCATTTGGTCGTATTACTAAAGCGAGCTTGAATTATACTGATTTAAGTAGAGTACTAAGCATTTGTGAGTCAAAGCCGGTGTTTCGAGCTGTTCACGAGGCAGTCGTGTGAGTGATTTTATTAAATTGATTTTGACTGACTGCATGTGATACTTAATTCTGTGATTAATATTTATTATAATTTTAAATTAAGTTGGGCTATGGCTAGAAAAATATTTGGTTAAATATATTTTATGAGGAAAATACTTTACGAAAAGCTTACCACATTACACTAGACTTGCAACACTGCTATTCTTTTTTAAACTTAGATTAATACTAAAGTTGTTAATATTAAAGTTTCTATTAACAGCATACGAAACGCATAACGCTATTAACAGATCGGCTTTATCATTTCACATTGAGTGCAGGTTTTTCACGTAGTTAGTTATTATGTTTATTGTTTGTTTAATATAGTAACGTGCTTTGTTAAACATGTTAATAATAAGTTTTGTTATTGTGTATTAAAAGAGGTCACTTTTATATTTAATAAAGAACGTTACTAAACTTAAACTATTCAATAATATGTTTACAGAAAGAGATAAGTTGCAATTTCGTTGTGATTATTTTAGAAAAAAAAAAACATTTTGCATTTACACAACTAATATTTGTTGGTGGGGTGAAAACGACGTGCAGTTATTTTTTAATGACCAGTGTTTCTTATTTAATATAGCCTTACCATAAAACCCTTCAAAATGAGCGTTTTTTCTTAACTTTTTAAAATTAAACGAAATTGCAGCTCACATTCTCTTCATACTTGTGTATCATATTTAATTCACTTTTGGTTTAGCTCACAGTAGTTATGACTTTATAATGAGTTTTGGATTTCAAACAGACCATCAGTAGGGTTGCAGTTTTTAATGATTAAATTGTGTGTTGCATAAGTGTTAGCTTTGGCTGGGTATTCAATCCAGGACTATGATTCAGCAGTAATCTTGCCTTGAATAAAAACCACACAGTTTTCTACGGTACAGTTCAAATAAATACGCGAAGTAAAAGGTTCTGATCTCGAAATAAGACAATAATTAATTGCCTTTCTTTATGGCAGTGTTCAAAAGACATGTTGGAATGGGCTATGATGGTAATGATGATGTTGTATTAAGCGGTTTAAGCGCTTGACCTGGGGAAATTAGTCAAATATTTGTAAGTGCTACTATAATTATCGTACTGGAGGTAAGTACATGAAATCAGCCCATTGTGTAACTCGTGTTATTTTTGACTGTTTCATGAGAATTCATTACGGGGTAGTTATTTTTATTACAATTTATAGTGTGAAATGAAACTCGTGATCAAAAATGTGAAAGATAGGGTTACCACTAGAAAAATAACAGCCTCACTTTTAATCGTTGACTGTACCTGTATTGCTTTATTTAAATAAATGATTAATTATCTCTATACTTGTCTCTTTCTATTGTTATTTAGTGAAGAGAGAAAGCAAAATATTTTTATAAGTGGGCCGTTAATCGCCAATACAATAATAGTATTTCTTAAAACTATAATAAAGTTTTGATTAATGATTACACATGAAATAAAGATGAGAGAACGTCATAAATATTTCCACATCTGCCTATCTTAAATTGTATTACTATCATCAGAAATTATTCTTATGTTTTAAATGTAAGTAATATTGTTTGTTAAAGTATCTCCCGGCGGGAGAGAGTTTTTCGCACAATCTCAAACATTTAGCTTGATTCATTTGGTTAGTTCTATTAAGTCATAATTTTACAGCTACGTTGACTATGATACTTTTATGGCGAAATACTCAAACGCTACGCAATTTTAAGACGTCGTTAAGTCTCGTGGTGTCTCACTCACTTTGACTTAAACTGATAGAGACAGCACGATACAACGACATCTTAAAATTGAGTACCGTTCGAGTATTTGCGCATTCTACAATAATTCTGCAAACGAAAGTCCTTTCTAAACCCGTTTCCAGAATGTTATTTAACCTAAGCTCCACAATGATATTCGTTCATTCACGGTTTTGATGTCGAATTTCATTTCGTTCTAATATAAAAATAGAACAAACATTTATCTATTATAATGTAATTACTATTGCGGGGTAATAATAACATATACATATTATAATAATAATACATTGAAAGATTTGAACGATTTACTTATCGTTTAAATCAGTTTATGAAACACATTCTTATAACGTTGAGTTGAGACTTTTATCTCCCTACAAAACAGGCGATAGGACTGGTTCGGATTGGAATCACATCGCTGCACTGTCGGGTTCAGATTTCGACCTCGCGGCGCACGGAGAACATCAGAACATTGCAGATATCGCCAAGCACGTTGTTGTTCACACGCCTCGAGAGGATCAACCTGGACCGGCGCACGTATAGGTGAAATGTTTTATAAAATTGAAATAAAAAAAATAAAATCACCCTTAGGTTCGGTTTATTACTGCTATTTTAATAATCTTTCAATGTATTTTGCGCCGAGTGCTAACGCTTACAAAGAAAGACATTTTTTTTGTAAATTGTAAACTTCATGTATTTTTTAAAATTATATCTTTATTCTATCATTATTTTTATGTTTCTAAAACATTGTGTGCCTCATATTGTATATCGAAAACTGAATCTTACCACCACAACATAAGGTCTATAAAATATAAAATGTGTATTGTTTATCAATAAATATACGATAGTCACGTCACATTCAATGACCGAAACTGGTTGGTTGTATTTACTTTTTTCTATTATTGGATTTTGATTATATGAAAAAAAAAATATTTTTTTTTTAAATTAAAAAAAATTAAAATTACGATTTTATTTGAAACTTTTTTGGCATAGTTGCCAGGTTTGGTGTGTTTGCAACCGCAGATTTTTATTATTTTTAGTTGTTATCAGGATGATGCTGCCCATCTCCTGATTCATCCCTCTTACTACACCCACAGGATGATATGGGGTATGGCGTGATCGCGGAGCAGGAAGGATTTCAAATTATTGCAATTCATACAAATATAAACTTTTATCATTGGAGAATAAACTCGGTTTTCGAATCACAAAAACAGTTCAAAAGGTCCTAAAACTATCTTAGTTGCAATAGAAATAAAACTGTGTATGGTGGGAATTAAGTTTAAAAATGCAAAGCAAAAAATTTTTCCTGCTTCGATGCCGCGCTTTCACTTAAGTTACTTACGCCGTCGCTACACGGCGAATTTGCAATTTTCTAGAACGAATTTTATGTATTTTATATTGTAATGAAAACCAAAAATATCATAATATAGTTAATTTACGCACAACAAATAAACTTTCGTGTTAATTGATATTTATTTTAGATAATAATATTACTTAATATTTTACCTTTTCAAAAGAAAACCTACTATTTATTTTTTCTAAAAATCTATTTAATGCACTACACAGGTTATATGATTTGCTTTTTAGTATAGTTTATTAGTAATAAACCTATGCTACCTGTATGTGTAATGGTTATTACAATAGTTTCTTATCTATATTCTTATATATTTTTGTATGTGTCCTATACAGTAAAACAAAAACATAACTATAAAAAGAATTATGGTAGGTATAAGCTATTTTTATTATATGTAATATCGAGCAATCTGAATATATCTCATATTTTATATTTTTAATTAGATTTACATCAATTCAATAGGCCATCATGTATGTTATGTGTCTCATACATATTTGCCATATTTCTGGTCTCGAAAGATGTTTCTTGTTTTTGTAATTTCCTGATAATTGTACTTAAATGCGGATACGTTTCCTAAACATATTTCACTTTTTTCATTAACAGATATTTTTTTTTGCTTTCGTATTTATTCTATTTTGTATCGCAATTTCTCTATTGAGGTAACAGTTAACTTATCGTTTCAGAACGATTGGTTTAGTTTATATATAAATAATAGTTGTTTAGAGGAGTTTGTTTTTATTAAGTCTTAAAACTTAAAACGCTCAGACACATAAAACTGATGAAAGTAATGTTGAAAATCCAATTGAATAAATTTGTTTGTATTTATATAGATAATAATCATTCTTTTTCATGTAATACAGCGCAATAAATGAAAATATTATTACTATATTAATACGTTGATAAAAATAATTTCTAACAAAAATACTTCCTAACAAAATATTTCTTAACAACCCAAAAATAATGTTTACAAGTTTGTGAAGCTAAGAAGTTTTCACTTCTGACGTGCCGTCCTACGACAGACGGTTTTTTTTTTTAAATTAAACCAATTTTAAATCATTAGCGTGACGTTTAAAAATGTCAGTGTGTGTTGAAGGGTTGCCATAATTTTAATTGTTGCTTAGGTTTGTCTAAAACAAGAGTCATTTTCCTCGTTTTGTAATTGCATCAGTTAAATAGCTTTTGCCGGCTAACACGGCAAGCTGGTTTGAAGCGTGATATTTCGATTTTTTTTTTATAAAAGATGAATCGAACTTTCAGTTCACCTGATGGTAAGTAAGTAAACACTGAATGGGTACTGCAGCTAACTTCATACGAAGAAGGCGTTGTTATATCTAAGGACTAAGCTTAAATGCTTAATACCCATTCATTCATTTGGTACTACCTTTGTGCACTTGACTCTGAACACTTAGTAGGCCACAGTTTTTTTTTCTTCAATTTATAGTTGTTATTAGGAAGACGCTGCTGGTTTATCTTCCATCTCCTGGTTTGTTTCCCTATGTCGCCACTTACGATATCCCACGGGACGATATGGGGTAGTGACTTGTTTTATTCCACCACTAAACGGTATCGAAAGAGTTTGCCTACATACTTTCAAATTTCTAATTTTTTCGATTTAAAACTGGAAGTTGTGATATAGCAGGGCAGAATAAAATTATATTGGTTTCCATTTAAAATATTCGGGTTTCTATGAACCCTAAATGTTATTGGTATTTATGCCACATTGATTTATGGTTTAAACGTTTGATAATATAGTTTAATTCATACCTTATCGAGTTTATTTATGAAACGAAAGAGCCGATACGCCAAAGTATTGTATGGGGTAAAAATAAAGCGTAATTAAATCTTTGGCGGCAGCATGCATTTGACCCTTAACACATAGTAAGTTTATTACAGCGGCCTTCATTTTAGATATATGTTATGTATAAATGTATGTATAGTCATTATTTAATGAGTTAAATTGGTGAGAAGTTAGTGAAGACATTATGTTATCACAAGTTGTGTTGAGACTGTTGCGAGTTACTATTGTAAACTGGTAAATGTTATATCGAATCTAAAATGAATCTCACTTCGCTTTATCTATATTTATATAGATGTAGTAATGAATTGAAAATTTGCCTCGAGATCATTATAAATATTTAGGATGCTATAAAATTTAGTAATAATGTAATACCAAATTTGGAACTGATAGGATATATTTGGTACAAACTGATAGGATTTCACTGACGTGAGTTGCAGATTTAAAACGGACACTGCCTGTGGTCACTGCATGCCGAGTTATTGTATTAAATAAGCGTATAAAAACTATTAATGTTACTTTGTTTATTACGGTCTATCAGTAAGATTTAATGATTACCACAAAAAAGTTGATTTAAATTGTTGTACATTGCCCTTAAAAAGCCTGAAAAAGTTCGGTGCCAGGCAGTTTTAATGTTGTATTCATTGGAACAATAAAAAACTTTTTGGAAATTATATATTCGTCGTACTGCTGTTTCTGTGTATTTCCTTTAGGAAGAAAAATTTGGATTGATAACTGTGTGCGATTGGTAAGCAGTGATCAGTGATGTATGTATAGAAGAATCATATCGAAAAATATATTCAAAATATTATTGTATTTCAGTATGTTTATACATATTTATTACTTGTGTGCTTATAGCAACAATTGAAGATCCAAAGGAATAAAATAATTATGATTCCTTTTTTCTGTGATTAAAGTCATTAAGGTAGGTCGGAATCAGTTAAATATACGAGATTATACCGAAATAATGCTTGCAATTTTATGTGACGTATTGTTACGTAATAGCTAACGATGTAATTTGTTATGTATGTTAAATTAAAAGTAAATCGATGTGATATATTTAATTTAGAACATAAACAATAAAGGTAAATATATAATATGTTAGCGAAGTTGTATGGTTGGTTAAAATCGTTGGTATGTTTCCATCGATGTGCCCAAGTTCTAAATTTTATGCTTAATTATATCAATCAGGTGATTGGCTCACTATTAGATAAACTATATTTTATCGTAACATGTAATTACTCGTTATTTAAGTTTTCATCCTTCTGTTTAGATTAACATTTTTTTCTACTTTTTAAAAAAACATTGATTATAATATTATCTATATGCGAAAAATTAACCAAATTAAATCTGCCTTGAATTTAGTGACTTACTTAAAGATAAGCTTTTACCATTTTGGTTGCTGTTTAGCAACTAGTCACGTAAGCGAATTACCAAAACAAATTTATACATATATTTGTGTTTTTAAATATTGTTGCAAATGTTTTCAAAATAATATGTAAGAAGGATTTTGTTTGCGTTTTTAAATTTATGTCAGGACAATATTGCTTAAATAGTTAAGACGGCACTTCACATCGCATTTCGGTAAATATGGACAATTGTTAGAGTTTACTAGTCTTTATTATTATTTGGTCATTAATTTTAATTTTGTGATTAATATCTAAATTAAAATAAAATAATCTATCTACACAAACAGTTTAAAAAACGTTTTATACACACATCCATGCATGTAGCTATCTGGGAGGCCGATGGGCACAAAAGCCTAGAAAATCTAAGCCAAGACCAGTCAAACTATTGGCTACGCCCATGTACATAAAGGATTAAAAATTTAAATATACAGGAACGCGAAACGCAATATGAAGTCACCATTCTCAAATTTCGTATAAATACGACAGTGTTGCAACATGAATGATGTCGATAGTTGAAATGTAGTATGTCCATTATTTTCTAAAGGTTGATGTGGTCATAAATTTTGTCAGTGTTACTTTAATGAAAAAATAAAACGCTTGTGGTGTCTGTAACTGGCTAGTAAATTTCCTTCTATACTGTTAAATGCTTGTATTTATATGATTTATACGGTCAATATATGGAAAGTTTATACATGTATTTTTATTTCAACCTGTTTTTTTTTTACTTAAATTTGTTAACATTAATTAAGTAACCAATTGCACCGAGCGATCCAGTTTGTCGCGAGCCCTGCAGAAGTTCACGACAGGCAACGGACAATAGGCGATTTACTGGTGACAGATGAAGTGGTTGACTATAAATAATTTCAATCCAATACAGCCCACTGATGGACACACCAGCCTATGGATCGTAGAACAATCGTTTGCAGTGATTCCTTTAACAAATAAAATTCCACTTTGGGTAGACTGTTTAAAAAAAGCTACTAAC